AACATCATCATCATCATCATCACCATCATCACCAGCATCATCATCATCAGCATCAGCATCATCATCATCATCATCATCATCATCAGCATCATCATCATCCATCATCATCATCCATCATGATCACCATCATCATCATCATCATCATCATCATCATCATCATCATCATCATCATAACCATCATCATCATCATCATCATCATCATCATCATCATCATCATCATAATCATAATCAGAATCATCATCATCATCAGCATCACCATCATCATCATCATCAGCATCATCATCATCATCATCGTCATCATCACCATCATCAGCAGCAGCATCATCAGCATCATCATCATCATCATCATAATCAGCATCATAGTCACCATCCTCCTCCTCCTCATCCTCCTCCGCAGCATCATCAGCACCGTCGTCATCATCATCATCATCATCATCATCATCATCATCATCACCACCACCACCACCATCATCATCATCATCATCAGCATCATCATAATCGTCGTCGAAATCATCATCAGCATCATCATCGTAGTCATCATCATCAACATCATCAGCATCATCATCGTCATCATAATCATCATCATCATCATCATCATCATCAGCATCATCATCATCATAATCAGCATCAGCATCGTAATCATCGTCATCATCAGCAGCAGCATCATCAGCAGCATCATCATCGTCATCGCCATCGTCATCATAATCGTCATCATCATCATCATCAGCATCATCATCACCATCAGCATCACCATCATCATCATCCTCATACCAGCATCATCATCAACATCATCACCACCACCACCACCGCAATCATCATCATCAGCATCCGCATCATCAGCAGCAGCATCAGCAGCATCATCATCAACATCAGCATCAGCAGCATCCTTATAATGCTCATCATCATCATCAGCATCAGCATCATCCTCATCGTCTTCCTCCCCATCTCCCTCATCCTCCTCCTCCTGCTCTTCCTCCTCCTCCTCCCCCGCATCATCATCATCGTCAGCATCATCATCATCAGCAGCAGCATCATCAGCATCATCATCATCATCATCATCATCATCATCATCATCATCATCACCGTCGGCATCAATGATGGGTAGCTTATCGAGCCGCATCGAGCCACCGCGCCCACCAGACGCCTCTCGCCTCCCTCCTAGTCCCACCACCGCCTCCCTGATAGTCCCACCACCGCCTCCCGCCTCCCTCCCACCAGCGCCTCCTGCCTCCCCCTACTCATGAAACTCCTCCACCCTTCCTTATCCTCCCTCTCCTCCTCCTCATCCCCTTCCTCCTCCTCTTCCTCCTCATCCTCCTCCTCCTCCTCCCGGTCATCCTCCTCCCCTCTCCTCTCCTCTCCTATCCTCCTCCTCCGCTCCTCCTCTTCCTCCTCCTCCTCATCTCCTCGTCCTCCGCCTCCCCCTCCTCCTCCTCATCGTCCTCCTCCTCCTCCTCCTGCTCCTCCTCCTCATCCTCTCCTCATCCACGTCCTCCTCATCCTTTTCCTCATCCTCCTCCTCCTCCTCATCCCCCTCCTCCTCCATCCTCCCCCTCATCCTGCTCCTCCTCCTTCTCATCCTCCTCTTCCTCCTCCTCCTCCATCCTCATCCTCATCCTCATCCTCCTCCTCCTCCTCCCCCCCCCCCTGCTTCTCCTCCTCCTCCTCCTCCTCTCTTCCTCCTCCTCCTCCGCCTCCTCCTCCGCCCCTCCTCCGCCTCCTCCTGCTTGTCAGTTTCCCCCCCCCCGCTCCATCCTCATCCTCCCGCATCCTCCTCCTCGTTTTCCTCCTTCTCTCCTCGCCTCCGTTCCTTTCCGCCCCCTCCTCCGTTTTCCTCCCCTCCTCCTCCTCTCCTCCTCCTCCTCCTCCTCCTCTGCTCCTCCTGCTCGTCGTCCTCCTCATCCTCATCCTTCTTCCTCCTCCTCATCCTCCTCCTCTTCTCCTCCTGCTCCTCCTGTCCTTCCTCTCCTCCGCCTCCTCCTCATTCCCCCCCTCCTCCCTCCTCCTCCTCCTCCTCCTCCTCCTCCTCCTCCTCCTCCTCCTCCTCCTCGTTCTCCTCCTCATCCTCCGCCTCGTCCTCGTCATTTTCATCCTCCTCCTCCCCCTCGTCCTCATCCGCCTCTTCCTCCTCCTCAGCATCCTCACCCCCGTCCCCCTCATAGTAGTATGTTTTAGTAGCAATAGCATTATACTGCGTATGCGTATGAGTATGAATACTAGCAGCGGTAGTATTACTAGTATTAGCAGTATGAGTGCCATTAATATTAGTAGCAGTAGTATTGTTCGTCGTGTTAGTATGAACCGTATTAGTGTTAGCATTCGTATGATCATTATTAGTATTAGCAGTAGGTAATCGTAGCATTAGTAGTATCAGTATTATCAGCGATGCTAGTATTCGCAGTACTAATAGTATGAGCACGGTTAGTGTTAATACTATTCGTAATTCAGTAGTAGTAGTAGTATCAATAGTAGTATTAGCATTAGCAGTGGCAGTATTACTCGTACCATCATTAATGATGATGTTGTCATTAGTGTAATAGATGTAAGAGTATCACTGGTAATATCCGTAGCATACTTAATGGTATCATTAATACTAATAGGGTATGTATTAATCCCAC